GAGCAGGGGCTATAATGGGGAAACCAGGTCCCATCTTTCTGGGCTCATCTCTCTGGGGTTCCCTCCACACTCATCCTATTCCTACACCATGTCTTCCCAGGTAGATTTACAAACATTCTTCTGTGTGCCTGCTAGGCGTCGGCACAGATACTAGCTCGTTTCATCTTAGCGGCCTCCCCCTGCCTTACCGTTAATGCCAAGGAACGTACAAGACCCTGCCACACCCTCAGCGCTCCCCACCTCCATACCCTCATAACCAGTTTCATGTAGAGCCTGGAGTTTGGGCCAGAGCTGCTGAGCTGGAACCACTGGTCCAGGGTGAGTTCGGAGGCAGTCAGCAGGCGAGCCAGAGGCAGGGTCAGTGCCCCTAAAGCCAGGGCCCTGGAGTCGTCCTTCACCTACAGGCGCAGAAGGAGATGCAGTGAAGAGACTAGGGAAAAGGGAGGCCCCTGGGGAACTATCTGGCAGCAGCTTCCTTCTCTCGGTGCCAATCACAGACCCTTTGCTCTGCCCTGGGCCATCTTTTTAGTCCTTTGCCCACTCCATGGTCCCTTCTGCCTGTGCTCATTCTGTTGCCATTACCTGCAAAGCTCTCATTCTCCTCCCTGCCTATTTAAATCCTACTTATCCTTCAAGGCCCACAGGAAATTCTACTTCCTGCACAGAATCTTCAGTTACTCCAGCCTCTGTACCTTTCTCTGGCCATCTTAGCACTATACTATGGGTATTTTACTCCCACTGTTCCATATTTACTCCTCCTTGGGTGACTTCACATATGTATGTCTTGTCTATGAAACTAGCTGGTAGGCTTCATGAAGGCAGGCAGTCTTTCACGCTTTCCCTCTGACCTTTCAAATACCAGGTACCTAGCCCAGCAAGTGACCCGGGTGACTCAGTTGCTTAGAGCATCATCCTGATATGCCAAGGTTGTGGGTTTGATCCCCAGTCAAAAATAATTTTTAATATATATTTTTATTGATTTCAGAGAGGAAGGGAGAGGGAGGTAGAGATAGAAACATCAATGATGAGAACTACCAGTCGGCTGCCTCCTGCACGCCCCCTACTGGTTCTCGAGCATGTGCCCCTGACTGGAATCGAACCCGGGACCCTCCAGTCTGCAGGCCTACGCTCTATCCACTGAGCCAAACCACCTAGGGCAATTCTTTTTTTAAAGTGCTCTGGCTGGTGTGGCTCAGTTGGTTCAGCATCGTTCCATACACTAACAGGTCACCAGTTCGATTCCTGGTCAGGGAACAAGCCCAGGTTGCAGGTTCGGGAACCAACCAGTCAATGTGTCTCTCTGTCTCTCCCCTCCCTCCCTCGCTCCCTTCCACTCTCTCTGAAAATCAATGGAAAAAATACCCTCAGGTGAGGATTAACAACAAACAATAATAATACTAGGTACCTTATAGGTAATCAATATTTTCTTTTTTTTTTTAATTCAAGCACATTTTACATATTTATATACCATAAAAATCACTCATTTTAAGTGTACAATTCTCAGTTATAAAAAAGATTCTAAGATCAACCAAAGGACTTGTATGCACGCATATAAGCCAAACCAATGGACACGGACAACAGGGGGATGACAGCATGAGTGGCGGGGGTGGGAGGATGGGGGTTAATGGGGGGGGGAATGAGGACACATTTGTAATTCCTTAACTAATAAAGAATTTAAAGATAAAAAAAAGATTCTAGATATAATGGGGGACAGTAGAGAGTAGAGGAGGTAGAATCTAGATGGATGGATTAAAAATAGAGATCAAAGGAGAACATGGAGAGAAGAAATGGTACAGATCTGAGAAGGCAGAACAGATGACTGTCTCACCTGTACATCGAGCTCCTGGCTTTGAGGGTCTTGCAGGAAGAACCGGAAGGCCTCCTCCCATACTGGGCAGTTGTTGTTGTAGACAGCCTGGAGACATGCAGGATTAAGGGTACAGGCCACCACTTTTATTAACCAAAGCCACCCCAATAAATTTTTTTTAAAGAGACATGTCACAGTACCATTCCTGTTTCTCAAGAAAGCCCTGACCGTTACAGGCTTTCCAAAGGGGAAACTCCATCCCAAGAGCAGTCCTGCCCCAGCCCCACGGCCAAATGACTCTTCCCACAATGCTCTCCTGGCCTCACCTTGCTCTCCCGGGTCACATCCTGAACTGACAGTTGTACCATGGGGTTGGGTTCTTTGTTCCCCTTCTTCAGCTGTGGGAGGCAGAAGGCAGAAGTCACCATCACGGTGTTTTTCTTTCCGTGAAGGACGGTGGGCTCCCGTCAGAAGCTGTTCTCTGAGATGCTCTCACCCCTCCTTGGAACCCTTGTGTTACATGATGCTTCTTCTGGAGCAAAGCAGGCAGGGGCAGGGGAAGGTGTGGGAAGGCTACCTGCAAGGCTCCCTGTTCACCTGCTCTCAGAAGCCACACTCACAGGGAGATCCTGGGCCCGATCCAGATAGACAACTAAGATGGCAGCCGATGGGGGCTCTGGTCGGGAGGAGACGCCTCGATTCCACTGCAGAACCTGCAGGGGTGGCAGGAGTCAGACCTTAGTCCCCGCGGCTCCCCGTACTTCCAGATGACTTTCTCCCCTGCCACTTCCTGCTTCCCATGTGGGTTACCTGCTCCAGTTTTTCTGCATCTGGCAAGAGTGACAGCCATTCTAGCTTTAAGTGAACTTGGCCTTGCCCGCCTTGTAGCGGGAACCACTGAAGGAAGTAGAAGGAAGTGAGGCATAGCTGAGATCAGATAGCACCCAGCCTCTGCCCCACCAATGTAGCAACTACCATCTGCTGTAAGGGTGAGACCACCCCACCTTCCTCTTTTCTTAACTTACATCGTCCAGGACTCCAGCCTGTAACACCTTCCCTACATCCAGCTTCATTCTGGGAGGGGGGCAGGGAGAGGGGAGAGGGGAGGCCCGTAATTAGTAGCATGTCACTAGTCCTCCACTCACTGACCCAGAAATAACTGGCAGATCTGACTCCCTTCTCCTTATACTCAGGAGAGGACTGTGTGTGCACGCGCACACGTGCATGTGCCTGTGTGTGGGTGGGGGTAAGGGATGGGAGGTTGGGAAGGAAAACGATACACAACTCCCAGGCCTGGGAAAGGATTATAATTAGCCCTAGATGGTTTGGCTCAGTGGATAGAGCGTCGGCCTGTGGACTGAATGGTCCTGGATTAGATTCCAGTCGGGGGCAAATGCCTAGGTTGACGGCTCAATCCCCGGTGGGGGGGCGTGCAGGAGGCAGCTGATTAGTAATTCTCATCATTGATGTTTCTGTCTCTCCCTCTCCCTCCCTTCCTCTCTGAAATCAATACAAATATTTAAAACATTTTTTAAAGAAAAGGACTATCATTACCTTTGTGACCCTGCGAGCACTGGGGTTTAGAATCCTAACATAGGCAGAGTCTCACCTGCCCAGAAAGTCATCTTTGTCTGGGTCCTTGTCAAACACCTCCACCTCCACCTCCTGGCCCGGGACCTCATGTACCATCACCTGAAGAGCACAGAGGAACAGGGTCTCATGGGCTGCAGCTGTGAGGCTCGGCCCTCAGCGCCGTCCCGCAGCCTTCCGAGGCCTCCCGTTCCACACAGCCCCACTCCCCAGCTCTCCCACCTCGTAGGTCTCTCCCCACTGCGGGTTGAGCTCCTCGTCGATGACACGACTGCAGAATGTCTGGGTGCCCACTCGCACAATTGCGTAGGGGTCTGACTTGCCCTCAATCAGGCCCTTCACATATTTGTCCTTGGAGCTTAATCCTCGAGCAGCCAGCAGGTGAATCCGAATAATGCCCTGAGGGTAGGAATCAGATGGTGAGAAACTAAGGGCCTAGCACAGGGTTCCTAAGAGAAGGCTCTATTTAAGGAGAGAGAGGCCATACCCTGGGAAGAGGGGAGCGCAGCTGGGCCACATCATGAAGGTCAGGCACCAGGGGCACCAGTAATCGGTTGGGCAATACCAGGAAGGCAGCGATGGAGTCCATGATCATGGTGTCAGAGAGCGAGCTGCATCAGGGAGTGGAAAAGGAGGTGAGGGTGGCCTCCAACTGACAGTAGCCCTGACCCCAACGATGTCTCTCACAACCAAGAGGCCTAAAGCCAGGAGGAAGTCCTTTCTTGAAACTCTCTTCGCTACTCTCCTTCCCTAATTTCCCACCTACGGCTCTGTCCCTTCTTCACCGCCACCCCAGCTCTCCTTCCTCTTTTCGCCCCGTGGAACAGTGTGCAGCGCTCTTCATTCTCTACCAAATGCCTGCTCCCCACAGAAGGAAAATCACAGCAGGGTACTTTTCAGGGGCATCTGTCCTATCTCCCCAGCGGCTCCAGGCTCCTGGAGGGCACCGCTGCATCTTTTACTGCTCCGAAACCCCAGGCAGGCTGCCACACTTAGCAGGTGCTCAGTAAGTCCTTGATACCTGAGTCCCGGGATATCCAACAGGTTGGTCATCCCCGTCCAGTTGATATCTAGGGTCTGGAAGAAAAGAGCACGCGGAGGCACGGTCAGCAGTTGCCAGAATTCAGTCTTCTTGTCAGTTCCCGCCTCCATTCCCCACAGTTGGCCACCCTCCCCCTCCCAATCCTCTCTTCCCCATCCTTCCTCAACACCTCTCCTTACCGGGCGTCGAATAAAGAACATTGACACAGCCCCCACAATCGGAAGGTCTCCTATGAGCGGCTCAAGAATCACCCGCAGGACACCATGAAGCTGGGACAAGAGAAGATCAAAGCCTTTCCTCAGAAAAGGCCTTCCCTCCCCACACTTCCCCAGCCGTGGCTCTTCCCACCTCCCACGTCCCCACATCCGAGGAAACTTAGGGCCAGGGCTCCCTACTGTGGGCCCCCGACATCTGCCCCACCTGCATTCCCTTGACTCCTGCTTTGCAGAAATATTTCTTCACTTCCACATCAATCTGTATATCGCCCACGTAGCTGGGGGGTTGGTGAGGAAAACAAAAAGGTTAGCACTCGGCTGTTGTGGGGGCAGGGGCATAAAGTCTGCGTGACCAGGATCCCGTTAAATGGGAGAGTGGTGAGTGGTGTTACCTGATGTTCAAGTCCAGCAGGATCTGTTGTTTGTTCTGACCCGGATGAACTTTGACTCCTAGGATGCGCAGTGGCTGGAGAGAGGTGAATTTTTGAGAGAAAGGAGGGGAGGGGGAGGAGTATCTCAAGCTCCCCGGACCTCCCACTTTCCCTGTTTACTTTCTCCTCCCATCACTTTCCTTCTCACACACATACCTTTTCACCCAGTTCCACTCGGGTGAATGTAAATGTTTGTAAATGAGGGTTAGATCCTCGAACAGATGGGGCCACGGTTTCAGCCAACAGCTTCTCCATATACTGTCCCAGGAAGGGCCAGACCTGGGCCACAATCTGGGAGAGAGGGGAGCTGGTCATAGAAGAGCCCAGTCCTCCCTCTGAGGACAAGTTCCTTCAGAATCCGACCCCCAGGGCGCACTGAGGACTGGGCTGGGGCCAGGACTAAGTGTGGCAGAGGATGGCAAGAGGAAGGGACCAGTTCACCACGTAGGAAAAGTAAAAATGAAGACCATCAACCCTCACCTTATTTAGCCATTCAACCTTTTCCACGTCTGGGAAGCTGACCTGGAGGGGACAGACAGAGTCCTGAGCACATGCCTGTGGTTTCCTACTAAGGTGCTGGGGTTGGCTGCTCAGAGAGGGAAGGAAAGGTCAGTGTGGCAGGGCCTCCTCCACAGGGTTTGGGGCACCGAGGCCTCCGACAAGAGGAGCTCCGGGGTGTGGGCCACACTTCGTCGCTTTGTGGCTGGCTCGGGGAGGTGAAAGGACAGCTGCTGGGGCCGAGAGGAGTGAGAAGGGCACATTCTTTCTGGAGGGGGAGGTCCTGCCAAGTCAGAGTTTGAGAAAGAAATCCTGGGATGGGAGAAGGCCTGGGTGGTTTGAGCAGCCTGCCCTCCTCTCTGACTGGGGCTTCTATGCCGGGAACGCGAACAGGGAAGCAGTTCCTTGAGTCAGGGAGGGACCAGAGGAGCTGCTGAGGCCCTGGCCTTTATTATTATTTTTTCTTTATTTCTTTTGATCAGTGTGACTCCTTTGATGGGAAAGGGCACCTGTGCTCCTGCTGCGGGAGGAGCTGGGGCAGTGCTTCCGAAGGATTAGTTTCCATGTGGAAGAGCAGGAGGAACAAAGGACAGTGGCTGCCTGGGCGACGTGTCCCCAGGGACCATTTCTTCCCCTCTGCCTCTCCAGTCCGGGGAACCATGGCGGTGCCGGTCTGGTGTCAGCTTTGATTCCTCTCTCCCGCCTTGTCCCTCTAGACGGGCACCTCTGCTGGGAGGAGCAGGCAGGGGGGGTAAGGAGAGGCTGGGTAACGGGCTCGTCTCTGAAAGGCCTGAGAAGGCGTTAGGCTCCCCACCGACGGAGAGGGGCAAAGAGATGAGGATCTGGGCCTCAAGCAGACGCAGTCTACAGTCCGGAAAGGGTGGGGCTGCCCGGCGGCGGAGTGCGGGCTGCGGGCACTGCAGCAGCCGCTCTGCCCCCTCCCGGTACCCCCGCCCTCCAGCCGGCATCCGCCTGCGCTGCGGTCGGACTGCCCGAGGGTGAAGGTGGCGACGCCGGAGGGTCCGGCCAGGTGCAGGGGCTCGCTCCTCCTCTCCGCCTCCTCCCAGCCCGTCAGGGCAGTGCGCCCGGGGCTGGGTCCCCGCGGGTCCCCGGGATGACAGCGGGAAAAGAAAGAACCTTACAGCTTTGAAATGGGGGTGTGGGTGGGGGAGCCCCGAGGACAGGAGAGCGAAGGAAGCCCTCTGAGCGGCGGTGGGAATGGGGATGCCCAGGGGCCAGTCGGGAGGGGTGCCCCGGAGGGAGGGAGAGGCACGGCGGCGTGAGCACTGCTCTTGCCCGAGCGCAGAGGAGAAGCCCTGGTTCCGCGGCAGGATCGGGAGCCGGGCGTGCGAGGGGGCGGGCAGCGGGCGTCCGGGCGGGCCCCCGGCCCCAGGTGGGGAGCGGAGAGAGGGTGGGGAGCACGGCCGCCGAGGGGCCGGAGGGTCGCTCACCCAGGCAGGGAGCTCCCGATGGCTCATGTACAGCGTTTCCGCCGTGAGCCGCTCCTCGTCGTCCAGCAGCTGCCGCGCCACTCGCAGGCTCCGTTCTTTCCCGTCGCGGACGCGGCGCCAGCCCAGGTAGAGGGCGAGGCCGAAGAGCACGAAGCCCACGCTGAGCCCCATGGCCCCCGCCAGGTACACCGGCACCAGCACCAGCAGCCGCCGCCCGAACGAAGTCAGCACCGCCAGGGCCTCGCCCGCCGCGCCTGGGCCGGCAGGTTGGTCTCCAGAACTCAGGTCCGGCTTCGGGGGCGCAGTCGGGGGCTGGCCCGGGGGGTCGGAGGGAGCCGAGGGCTGGTCCTGGGCGCTGGGGCTGGGGCGGTCTCCCGGGGAGCGCTCCATGGTGCCTCCTCTGGGAGGACCCTGCGGACCCAGAGAGCCGCGGCAGGCTGCCCCCCTCGCAAACCGTAAACCCCCAAATAGGGAGGGGACTCCAAGCCACGCCCTTCCCTCCTGATGGTTAGGGTAGGTCCGCGCCGCAGAGACCGAGGTGGAGTCGGCATCTCCAAACCCCGCCCCTCTTCCGCCGGGAAGGGAGAGGCTCCGGGGAGGCAGCACCTCGTGGATTGGGCCAGAGTGCCAAGGGGGCGGTCTGAGATGGCGGGAAGGGAAGAAAGAGGCTGAAGAGCAGCGCGGGACTGGCCTGGAGGGGAAGGCGGGATGGTGTGCCATTTAAACCGGAGAGGCGGGCCCCGAGCTCCCCGCCGCGGGGCTGGGCTGCCCCGGGTATGGCGCAGGCAGAGCCGCACCGCCAGTTCCTCGGTTTTCGGAGAGGAGTCAGGATTCCCTTCCACTCCATTCGGTTTGGCAGGATTTGGCCTGCGATTCCCACAGGTTCGTCTGTCAGCTTTCCCTAGTGTTCATATCCTAAGCACTTTCCTTCCATATGTTCTGGCTGCCCTTAAAACAGGAAAGGAAATTACCCTATTTGGAATGGAAGTGTTCCATGACCTACCCCGCCTGTCCTGTCCTGAGTCCTCCGGCAGACGCTAGAGAAAACTGGAGAACCCGAGAATTACAGGGCTGAGATAAGCCAGTCTTGGGGAGGAGAGGGGAAGAAAGCAGGGTGAATAGGAAGTGAGCCTTTCTTTCTTTTTAGAAATCTCCAAGAGTTATTCAGTCCGTTCTAGCATAGATGGCTGATTAAAACTAAATCGGCTCCAAAAAGGGGGAGGGAGGCTCAGCTGCAGCAGAAATGATTACATTTCCAGACCCTGACGACTGATAACATGAAAATAAGAAACGAAGAGTAATGAGACCATTCCATTTCTCACTTGCCGGAGTGAGAAGGAAGATCTGGGACACAGTCACATGTAGAACTAATGCAGTTCTACATTGTACTGTGTATAGGTGTAGGAAGGGGAAATGCAAGGTACATTGATGTTGACCACTATCACTAGTTAATTGGATTTAGAGGGTGTTGTCTGGGGACTTAGACACTAGACCAGTGGTCGGCAAACTGCGGCTCGCGAGCCACATGCGGCTCTTTGGCCCCTTGAGTGTGGCTCTTCCACAAAACACCACATGCGGGCGCGCATGTGCAGTGCGATTGAAACTTCGTGGCCTGTGTGCAGAAGTCGTTTTCGGCCTGGGCGAGTCTATTTTGAAGAAGTGGCGTTAGAAGTGGGGGGTGTCGATCCGGTGGGCGATGCGGCCCGGCGGGGGGGGGGGGGGGGCGCGATTCATGCACGAGTTGAGTGAGACTGGCTAGAAGACGAGTGTGGATGGGAGAGTTGGAAGGGGGCGACCTCAGCGAACGTACCTCAATCAGATTGAGGACGTTTTTAGCAAAGGCCAGCTTAGGAGTACCCTAATTAAGTTAATAACAATGTACCTACCTATATAGTTTAAGTTTAAAAAATTTGGCTCTCCAAAGAAATTTCAATCGTTGTACTGTTGATATTTGGCTCTGTTGATTAATGAGTTTGCCGACCACTGCACTAGACTAATTGGCCCTGGCTGGTGCACTCAGTTGATTGTCATCCCATGGTGGATTTGATTCTCGCTCAGGGCACATATAGGGTACATATCCAGGTTGGGGTAGGGGGACGTACAAAAGGCAATTGATCCATGTTTCTCTCCCTCTCCCTTCCTCTTTCTCTAAAATAAATAAAAACATATTTCTCTCTCTCAAAAAAAACAAAAACCCACAAAAAACTGGACTAACTGGAAGCCCTAGAGGGAAGGGTTGGTCATAAAATGGTTACTGTTTAATGCAGTGTTTGTGGAGCGTGTTGTATTATTCTGTTTGGTGCAATAGAGGAACTAGGGTTGATCTTTGAGGAAAGATTAGGTTTGCAGCTCATACATTTTATCTGGCTCTGCAGGGCATAGATTTCATCAGGCTATGTTTCATCAAAGCTGCTAAACCCTACTCCTGCCCAATCTTAAAAATTTCTCATTTCCCTTTCTCTACTTCTCTGAGGTTTATCTAGACTATTTCATCCAGCTTGCAGAACTATATAAGAAACAATTTTCTACTTGCCTCCTATGTTCTCCATATTCTCAGAAGTGAGCAGGTAGAAAAGGAGCTCAAGGAGTTTGGAGGAGGTATGAGTGATCTGTTCCCCAACTGACGAAGCAGAACTAGAGGAGAAAAATGGATGAAGTTCCTTATAGGAAAACCTCCCTATAAACTGAAATTTGCCAAGCACCGAAGTCCCTTAGGCCGGGAGATAGGAGGTTCTTTTTCAAACATCCCCTTTCTCACCATCTAGATCAGTGGTTCTTAACCTTCCTAATGCCGCGACCCTTTAATACAGTTCCTCATGTTGAGGTGACCCCCAACTATAAAATTATTTTCGTTGCTACTTCATAACTGTAATTTTGCTACTGTTATGAATCGTAATGTAAATATCTGATATGCTATGTTTTCTCCGATGGTCGCGACCCACAGGTTGAGAACCGCTGGTCTACATTATCAGACCCTTCTACTGAAGATGGTATATGGAGCACAAAAACTCATCCTAGGAAGGTCTCTTCCCAGCTGGCTCAGGGGCCAAACAATCAGCAGCTGCAATGCAGGCACCAGAGCTAGTCAACAGGCTGGGTGCCCGCCCACTGACAATTCTGCTGCCCAGGTGCCACCTGGTGGTGATAAGCAATAAAAGGTAACAGGGAAAATGATGGTCACTTTTTTAGAGTGTCTAAGTGAGCCAGAGTGCTGAGACTTCCTGGATTTGCAATCTGCATTTATATGTAAACTACATTAGCCTAGGAGGCAGAGGATTGAATGTGGTCATCTGGTCCCAGCTCACAAGATGGAAGGGGCAGGGCAACAGAATTGGAGGAAATTTCCTCTGTATTATTCCTAGCAAGTTATAGCAAAGTAGTGGTCCCATTGTTGGATCACTCTACATTAGAACTTGGCTCCATACCACACTAGTTGTGGAACCCTGAGATGATTAACCCTCTTTAAACCTGCTTTCTCCTCTGCCAAATGGGTACGAGAATAATACCCATCGTGTTGTGCCAATTAGATATTGCAATTAAAGTGCCTTGCCTTAAATTTTCAATACTCAAGAAGTATCTAGACCAGTCATGGCGAACCTATGACACGCGTGTCAGAGGTGACATGCGAACTCATTTTTTTGGTTGATTTTTCTTTGTTAAATGGCATTTAAATATATAAAATAAATATCAAAAATATAAGTCTTTGTTTTACTATGGTTGCAAATATCAAAAAATTTCCCTATGTGACACGGCACCAGAGTTAAGTTAGGGTTTTTCAAAATGCTGACACGCCGAGCTCAAAAGGTTCGCCATCACTGATCTAGACCTCCCTGTTTATTTCCTATGCAGCAAAACAGGACCTTTTTCTCCACTGGGCAGCCCTTCAGATATTCCAAGTTATCTATTGGGTCTCCCCTCAGTCTTTTCTTATCAATTTCTTTCAGCTCCTCCACTGGTTTGCCAGTGGCCTCTTTACAGATCACATTTAGAAGAATGCACAATACCTTAGGAGTTGTTTCACTCACAGACATGGAAGAACTGCTATATTTACAATGCATGCCTATGGTTCTGTTATCCTTATGGAGCTCCTAGAAAGGCCTAGAACATAGCAGGCTCTCACTATTTATGAACTGACATACTATAAGGACAAATATTTTTTAGCCAATTAGAAGTCCTGTGTTGTTCTCTCATTGTTCCTGTGTTGTTCTCATTATTGCTAATGTAGATCTCTGAATTTATTCCTCAGGCAGGCTCAAGCAATTTTTTTGTTTTGTTTCCCTGACCAGGAATGGAACCTGCCACCTTTCAGTGCACAGGATGATGCATCAACCAACTAAGCCACACCAGCCAGGACACAACCAATTCTTTAGAGGGTCAACCAAATTGATACAAATTGACCCCTTGGATTTAGTCAATATTACTTAATATGTCCTTGTGTTACTGTTGATAAGAATCTTCCATATTTTTATGTTTTTAATAAAACATACCTCTTGGGTATATCACTAGAGATTTCTCTAACATGAATGCACTAATCAACATTTACTACGCACTCATGTTCAGTTTGGATTCCACCAAATTCTATTATTAATGGAACCATAATTATTCTTTTATTTGTAATGATTTAGGTGAGAAAGAGGAAAGCAGCTCCTGACATTTACGAACTGGCCTGACACAGCTAGGCTTCAGAGTTGTAGGGGCGGACCTGGGCTCATAGGTAGGAAACAGTGCTCTACTATTGGACACAATCTCACAAAACACCAACACAGGACAAGGGCACTCAGTGACTATGATGAAGTGAGGCAAAAAAGATCACTTCACAGTTTTAAGTACAAAGCAAGGTCAGTGTGCAAACCACAAGATGGCAAACACCTCCCTCACCCAGCTGAGTGACTACTGTTTCATTACCAATTACAACTTTGCTTCACTCTAGTCTTCCCTTTATCGGGATAAAAATAAAGAAACCCAATCAGACCTAGCCGGTTTGGCTCAGTGGATAGAGCATCGGCCTGTGGACTGAACAGTCCCAGGTTCGATTCCAGCCAAGGGCACATGCCCAGGTTGTGAGCTCAATCCCCAGTCAGGGGCATGCAGGAGGCAGCCAATCAGTGATTCTCTCTCATCATTGATGTTTCTCTCTCTCTCTCTCCCTCTTCCTTCCTCTCTGAAATCAATAAAGAAATATATTTTAAGAAAAAAGAAACCCAATCATAGAATTATCTATCCCCGCTTTTCAAAGAGCACTCAATCCAGAATGAAGTCCCACTTCCTTAAACCTTCCCCCAAATCGCTTAACCAAAATACAAGTCCTATAGCTCCTAATACCCTTTCACTTCCTAATACCACAGTTCCCCATGGCATGCTCTCTCCATCATTCCTATGAGCATTAAACCCAACTTGTTCAACTGCAGGTGTATTCCTGGTGGTCTCTAGCTGGAGGATGTTAATAAAGGACATACAATGTATAGTTTCCCAAATCTACC